ATAAGGAGAATCATGTGCTAACGGCTGTCTAAATGACTCGGGTAAAGTTTGTAGCATGCGTGCTTGTTGTTTTTCTCTGCTTCCACTTGTCTTTGCACTAGGATGATATTGGCGTAAATGTGCAGTCATATTCATCGTGTTCCCACTAGTGCTGTCAGCGTTAATCTGAAATGACGTTAACGCCACAACACGGCTGTCTAAATGACTCGGGTAAAGTTTGTAGCATGCATGCTTGTTGTTTTTGTCTGCTTCCACTTGTCTTTGCACTAGGATGATGTTGGCAAAAATATTTGTTGTGTTCCCACTAGTGCCGTCAGCGTTAATCTCGTTAAAATGACGTTAACGCCATAACGCGGCAAATTTCCGTTAACAAGTTACCGCGGATCGCCCCGTGTGTGGGGCTGGACAGTGTCAACACGTTAATGAGCTAACTGCGCTAACACACTAGTTCCCACCAATTGAGCATTGCGTGGCACATCCAACATACTGTTTTACTTCTGTCCTTGACGCGCTTACCTTCAGGGTCATACTTCACATGAAAACCAAGATAGTTCCAAACGCCAGATCTGAACGAGGGTGGGGGAGGTTCAATTTTGGGTAGCGTTGAGGCAGTTGCCTTATTGCCTTGTTGCAACGAGCTTAGCTTCTGTCTTGCTAGCTTGCGCTGCGCTCAGTGGATCTGCACTCGACAGTGCAGCCTAGGCGGAGTAGTCGAACGCAGATCCACTGAGCGCTTAACACAGACAACATCGTCAGAAGAAAAGTTGATTAAAAAAAAAAATGGTATTGTTCGATACATATGCGTACTGAACCGAAAGCACTGTATCGAACGGTTCAATATCGATACGAGTATTGTTGCACCCCTAATATATACATATGAATCTATGTTGCAGGCCGGATATAATTGTATCATAGGCCAGATGTTTGACACCCCTGCCCTAAACCATATCAGCCACTTTCAAGACTTTCAAGATGCAGCATACACAGGAGTTCCAGAAAAGTGCAGTTCCTCAAATTTCCACTTGAGGCTCGCTCCAAAAATTACTCACTTTCCATAGACCTCCATGTTAAATTCCCCATCTTTAGAGCAGAAGTAAACATGTTGACAGCGTGCCACAAAAACTTGTTTTGGTCTCTGTGGCAAATTTTTGTACTTCATGACAACCACGCAGGTGAATTTTTATGCAAGTCAACCATTTTAATTGTGTTAAAGCTAAAATTTGTGCCTTACTAGGCTGTTTTGAGTCATAGTTGGGTGACATTTTGTGTCATTCCGAATTCACGATTTTTAAAAAAGACAGTAAATATGATTAAAGCATGTTTTAGGTGGACAGACCCCACATAATGTCTCAGTAAATTACAAACACCATGCTAACCAGACTATCTCCTGGGCTGCCCTCTTACCTAAATACATTCATGCCAAGTTTAAAGAAACAGACAAAATGTCAAACTGAAGGTTTTAAAACGTTAATCTACAAACAAGTCATCATAGTGACTGTGCCCATCTTTTATATACAGTCTTTGCCTAAAGTGACTCATTGCATCATCATTATGACCATTGTTTTTTTATTGTAAGTCTGTTATGTACAAGTCTTGGGTCATCTTCCATTTAGATTTTCCTAGGAAAATTGGAAATGGGTACAGTGATTTACATTTCACATACAAATACCCCTGAAAATACAGTATGTAAGGCAAAAATAGAGTTTGTACAATTCTCACAAGCTTGAAATTCAGTAATGTTGAGGGTCAGGCTGTGGGGAGCCCCATCCATGACTGATAGTGATGCATTATATGTTTTTCTATGCAGGTATGCGTACTGCATTTGCACTATTTGTGTCATTGCTAAACAATGACACTGTTCCCAATCAGACGCTTTCCCAGTTGTACTGCATTGGGGATCAGAAATGTGATGATACTTTTCTGTGTTCATAATTCCATTCATTTCCACAAGTTTCCAAAAGCCACTGGCTGAACTGCAGTCATAAACCTGTAAGCACACCCTGTTTTAGCTTTCCTCCGACCTCCTCTGTACATAGCGACGACCATTTGAACCAATAATCTCTCATTTAGATTCATCGCTTCATCAGATCTGATTTTCAGTTCAGTTCTTACATTAGCCTTTTTCCCCGTTTCCCTTCCTTAAAAATGGCTTCTTGACAGCCACTCTTCCACTGAGTCCACATCAGGACTTTTGCACAGTATTGTAAGTTTAGCTTTGAGTTTGCTAAAAGCTAACTCGACTCTTTTACAAATGACTTTTGCTTTGTTTTAACATAAAAACAGCTTTAGGCATTTCTGTTTTTATATTCAAGGAGCCAGATGACCTGAAGCTGAGAGTCACATGAACTGAGTAATATTTTAAAAGAGTGTGTAACAGTGACAAAAGCAAATTCATTTAAACTCAGAACTCTTGTTTTTCTAGCCACATCAGTTTAGAGACCGAAGGTTGGTGTGAGGCAGAGACGACAGTACAGACTCATGCAGCACATAAAGACTGTTGTTTTGTCTCTGGGGACTTTGGCTTAAAGGCAGAAATTCCTTCTGGAGTGAAGAATGTTTAGGTGACTGAAGAGGCCTGCAGGCAGTGCACAAACATAACAGGGACACATGCAGTGTTGGAGGAACGGGGATCAGCAAAAGTACAGGACAGCTTTTGAGCGACAGAATATTTACGACTTTCCTTTTGTGTTAAAATGTTTTATAATAGAGGAGAAGCATGCACACGGGGAAGGTTTGCTTGCTTTTCCTTTTGTTTAAATGATTGCTTCTACTGCTGTCCTTAGTAAGTTAACAGTTAATCAGAAAACTAATGTGAGGAGGCAGAAATATGCCCAAAGGTTCTCCTTGTGACAGTCTGTGTGATCTAAATCACCTCGTTTGTTATTGTAGAAATAATCATTTGCGCATCAGTTGATTATGCAAACTGCAGCTGTTATTCATTACTCAAAAAAGCACCCAGGTACTGCCACAGTTCCCATCCTTCCACTACACACATGCAGACGCAGCAAGCAGGAGATTTGTAGCAGCGTTTCTCTCTCTGTCCCAGAGCTCGGATTAAAGCAGTGTTTACTTGTGATAAATGGGAAACCAAAGCAAATTTGGACTTCTTTGTTGAGTCTCGTTGGTATCCAAGAGCCGCTGCCAATGTTTGCCAAAGAGTCAGTCTGCCATGTGATGTCAGGCAGTCCGTTTGTGTGCGGGCTTGCTTGAGTCTGTATTAAAGTCGTGTGTACTGCATTAGATGTAGAGCCGTACACAGCTCTCTGGTCCCTGCAGCGACCTCTTCATTTATCCAGCTTTACTTTGGGCTGACGTCGGTTGCTAAGGCTTCTACTTTTTTTCCCTCCAGATTGAGGATCAATGCATCAGATAAACCAGCTTTTTCCAGCTTTAAGTTGCTTATTCTTCCCAAATTGACTGCAATCAGTTTAACACAGTGTGACACTCTCAATTTAGGGGTTCAGATTTCAGTCTTGAGTATAGGAAAGTGGACATCACAGAGGCTTACCAACGATTATCCCCTCTTTGTGCGAAAAGAAGATTTGAGGCGTTGAAATGGACTGCAAGACTGAGCAGCACAGGTGAATTGTGGGTGAGAAGAGCTGTGTCTTTATTGGTGACAGCTGCTAGTACTCAGCTTAGCAAGAAGACGAACAGAGATTCACAGATAATGCAACCGTATGTTCAATCAATTTACTGTCAAGACTCACCTAACTTACCCCTGTGTCCGCTCAGCACCAATGCCACTTTATATGCGCTGAAGAGAGTGCTGAAAGGTTGGATGAAATAACCCTCTCAGCACTCCCTATTTATTTTATTTGCATTAAATCTTTTAATATTGGTGTACATCAGAAATAATCATATGTTGATAATGATAAAAATCTGTAATAGGCCAGTATCAGCTCATATTAGCTAAGCTATATGCAACTTAGGCTCCACTGAAATGCAGTGTTTAGGTTAAAATGGGAAGATGTTATTTAAAAAAATAACTGCGAAAATCTAACGTAAAGACATTTAAATATATTGCATGCAGATAAAAACTCTGGCGCCCAAGAAGAGGTTTTCACCTCTCACCAAGGAATCAGTAAGCTAAGTATACTCTTACTGTTTCCATAGGAATAAAGAAGGTCCATACTAACCAGGGGCTGCTAATCTAATCCACTGATCATCAGGAAGAAAAGCAGAGGTTTGGGCAATTTACTAGTCCGAAGTGCTGGTTATTTCTGGGAAGGGTTATAAATGTATTTCCAAACAGTTCAAAGTCAATCATTTTGCAGTGAGAAACATTATTGACAAATGGAAATCATTCAAGACAGTTCCAGGTTTTCCCAGGATGTTCGTGCATTG